AAAAAAAACAATTCAGCCTTTTAATAGTTTTATTACAACTGTAAAATCACAACATTCTTAAAAATTACTTATTAATAGTTAAAAAACACTTATAAAAATATGACTTATATTTTTGAATTACCAAGTACATAAAAAAAGTTCAAATTAATAATAGTCTAAAAATACATTTTTAAAAAAGTAACAATATTATTTTTTTTTTAGATTTTTATAGAATTCATGATGTATTGGAGGAATAAACTGTAATAATTCCATGAGGTCATTATATTTTTCATTACTAATTGCCAGCCCATTGGGATAAAGTTGTTCTAATTCTTTTGGTTTTGCCATCAAACGTTTGGAAAAATTGACAGAAATAAATGCAACAAACTCATTATTAGAATATTTAAAAAACATTTTGTAAGGTTTATCTTTTACAAAGTACAACCATTGTATTTTCATCCATTCTACTTTTTCTCCATCAGCATTAACTTTTCTATTGGTAATATCTTTTTCAAGTAATACAGTAGATTTGAAATCTTCTTGTCTCATCTGAATAACCTTAAACGGATTTTTTTTTCGAGCACTTTCAATAACTTTTATCCAGTCATTTGGTACATAAATTTCAGAGTGATACCTTTTTTCTTTTTCAATCACTCCAAAATCCCTATCACAGGCTAAGTAAGTGTCCTGAAACTAGAAACTTATGATGTATTTCAGTGGGTAAATAGTCATTTGAGCCAACTACAAAATTGCAAATTAAGGCCATTTTTATATTCCGGTTTTGTCCTCCGCATTGATCACTATACATAATAAGTTGTTCTGTATGTACATAGTTTTTTATGAAATGTAACAAGCATGATCCAATTTCTTGTGGTCCACGTGATGCCATGGATTCATTCCAGACATACATATAAGCATCGTTCGTAGTTAAATTATGTATGCCTAAATTGTATGTACTTAACTGTCTTTTATAATAAGCCACTCCAACAGAAAGGGATGGAGTAGAGAGAGTTTTCATTAGATCAAAAGCTATAACAGTGACTTTATTAGGATCAGTTTTACATAATTCTACATCATTATTCATTCCATTCCGAGCTGATTCTGCTTTTCTAAGGTGTAACTCATGGTCAGCATTTAATTGTATTTTTTCATTTTCAGGAGCTACTTTAATTTGGTTTTTATACATGTCACACCTTTTACAACTGTCTGAGACAGGTGGATGAAACGATAAATTAAAATCTCTGTTAAATGTTTTTCTAAATGTAAACATAGAAACTGGTTCATTATTTTCTTGTTTGTACAGATTGTACATAATAGAAATATTTAAATTAGGACTTAAATAGTTCTTGTTCATATTATCATTTCTAGAGTAATGCGATGTAGAAGTTGGAAATTTCTTAATGAATTCTTTAACTTCAGAAATTTTATCAATAGGAACTTTATTCACAGCATCTCCTCTACCACGGCGATCCAAAGGTGGAGTAGTTCCTTCAAGTTTACCAACTAAGGCTCTAGTAATACGACCATCTGATATGTTAAATGATTTTTAAAAAAAATCTTTACATACTTTTATAGTAATGCCCGTCTCTAATGGCAAATAATATATACGACTAAACTCTTTATGTGAATCACTACCATTCTTAACATAACTTCTTTTTTTTTTAATAACATTGATGAGATTACATAGATATGAAGTTTGTAGATCGTGACTTCTTAAGGAGTAGTATGAATCAAATATTTTTTTTTTTTGATCAAATGTAAGTAAATCGTGACATTTTTCATTACATAAGCACTGAATATCTTTATATTGTTTTGCTGGAATTATTTTACCCCTACTGCTAATATATTGTTTACCTGAATTTCTTAACAATTTCCTTATATTTCTTTTCCATTTGGTTTCGTTTTTAAGTCTTTTCCGGCCTTTGTTTTCGCTATCACTAGGTTCATTTTGTACATCATCAGCTTGAATCTCACTTTCAGAACTTGTGTCATTTGATTCCGATGGCACATATGATGTTGACGAATATTCATCTTCGGAATCCGTGAATTGAATATTTAGATCTGTTAAGTTTTAATATTAACATTATTGTATTATTTTTATGAACAGTACATTCAATAATATTTTATTACCTTTAGACATTGTGAAGGTTGCTCTTTAATCTTGAACGGACTCACACTTAAAAAAATGTAGGTAACTCTAACTAGATTATTAATTACGATAACACGAATAATTATTATTTATTATGATACCACAATGGCTTATCAAACAATCATGGGACTATAATGTTATGATAACAACAGTGGCCTATTCCACATACAGTTGAATAGGTCATTGTTGCTTTATCACAAAACATAAAATATCTTAATGCAACAACGTGTGTAGTGCTGCCATCTAGTTTTAAAATAAGAAAATCGTAAATAGGCCGTTGTTGCATTAGAATATTTTTAATTCTGAACAATATTATATCATTATCTCAATTTACGAATTTTTGTGGGTTAGGCCACTATTGCGCTCAACCCCTCAAATAAGGGTTTCCATATACATATTTTGGCACATCTAACTAACGCAATCCATTGATCTGGAACATAGATAATTTTATGTTCTTTAGTGTTTTCAATAACTGCATTTGGATTTTTTCTTCATCGTTAGAAAGCTTGTACTGTTCGCACACATCGCACAGATCTTTTTTTGCCCTGAAAAAAGATAAGTTAAAATCATTATTAAAAATATCATTGTACTGCCTTCAAGTGACATTTATTGTACTAGAATTTATAGGGTTGTCTTGAATCCATTTAGTATACAATCTGTACATTTTTGAAATAGATAGTCCACTTTCAAGGTATTTTTTTTTTTTTTGAGTCATGTCTTATATAATGGGATTCAACGRCTGGGAAAATTGAAATATGTTCTTTGATAAAATTTTTCACATCATCCGCTATAACATTAGGACGAGAAAAATGTTTTCCTCTCATTATTTTAAAATTGCAGGTTTCACATATTGTATAAAAAATTTCAATTGGTGGTCTACATAATATCATTGATTATAAATATTAATAGTATTTATAATCAATGATAATACGTAAGTAGTATATATATACCATTCCTGGCGCACATTTATTTTATCAGTAAAAGATCACAAAGAAAACAATGTGCAAAAAGATCAGACAATTGAAATACATTAATTATTAAAATATTTTTCGCAAAACTTATGATATTAATAATTAAAATTGAAATGCAATATACAATCGTAAAATATTTTAATATATCATATTTTCAATCATTTTTATTTTTATTTTTAATTAATGTATTGAGATGGCTTACAAAATCATTTCTATCTATATTTGTTTTATAATGTCCCCAAGCTATTTAAGCCAATACTATTTTCCAAAATAAATCTTTTATCATCATAAGCACTTAAAGCTTTTTTGTTTTGTATTACAGTAAAAATATCATGCAGCTTAGTTCTGAATAAATTTTGTTTAACATATTTTGATT